GGAATAGGGAGAGAAGAGAGTATTGCCTTGGGATTTATTGCTCTGGCAATGAGCTCATGCCACACTGAGCACTTTCTACAGGAAGTAAGAAAAACAGTGATACCAGACTATTGTTTTCTACTCAGGGTATCTGGGTCAGCCTTGTCTGCTTATGAGGGCATGTTTGATCCTTCTTACTGATGGCGAGACTCATTTGACTGATACCTGTTTTATCATCTGTTGAATTACATTCTTCTTCGCTCGCTTACTCAGTGCTCTTCTAGCGCCTGAATCGCCTAACTCCTACGGGAATGGTTCTGTGCAGGGAGGGAGTAGTGACAGCTTTCACATGCCTAACAGCATCGGGCCAGCAGCTGCTCAGAGCCACCCAGCAGTGGTTTACACGGTAGGAAGTGGGAAATGTGCTATCCTTCAAAATAGTTTGCTTTATATTCATGCCTTTTTGTTGTTTTATGAAGGAAAGTTAGTGAATGTGTAGATTTTACACTTAACAGAAATATATTGAGTCTCCTGTTAGATCCTGTTAACACCTACATATCCTGGTAACTAGCACTGAGGGGTGGGGAGGTTACAGAGATGAATTAAGACACCTTGTTCTCAAAGGACAGGAGATTAGATAGATATGCAAAGTCCTCAGGAGTGATTCATTTAGTGTGCTAAGTACAGACAGCAAGTAATTACCTCTATTCAGGGAGCTACAGGGGGCATCTGCTTAGAGGAAGTGGCTTTGACATGGATATTAAATGATAAGTAAGAGCTCAGTGTAAGAGTAGGAACAGAAAGAAAGAGAGGGACATTTCAGTAGAGCGAATGGCATAAATGAAAGTGTGGATTGGATTTTGTGTGTGTGTGTGCATCACCGACAAAATCCATAAGCATGGGGAATGTGTACAGAATAGTGGAATTGCTTGAGACCAGATCGCGGAAGGCCTTGGCCAACAAGTTAAGGGATTTACATTTTAGAGATAATGGCCACTGGGGATCCGTGGAGTTTATTGGAGCAAAAGAGTGACATGAACCAAATCTGTGGTGAAAGTCTAATTTTGTCTAGTTCTCCTTGATGTGGGGATTGGAGAGAGAGAGAGACTGGAGCTGTGGACTTCCTTGCAGGGCTCTGGTGGTGGAGCCTGGCAACACGGGTGGTAGGAAGGTCCTGGAGAGGATAGAGGGGAGAGAGGCTGTGGAGGATGTACTGATGAGACTTAGTGTCTTGCAAATGTGTATGTCGCAGAACAGGATAAAGAACTGCTTGAGGTAGGCAAGTTGAGTACAGGAACTAATGGAAGATGAGTCTGTGTTGATTTGTCAGTGGAGCATTTGGACATTCATGGTGAGTAGCTATTAATGATGGGCTGGTGCTCAGGAAAGGTGCTGGGGTGAGGGGAGCGAATGAAGGGTGATGAGATTGGCGAGTCTGTTGGGAGACCCATCTGTTGGCAGGAGTTGGAATGAGGAGAGTCAGGAGTTGAGAAGAGCCGGTAGGAGGTGGGAAGGCATGCTCTGGACGTCACGGAGGAAAAACCTGTGTAAGCTGGTAGCACGCTATGTCTGAAGAGTGAAGAAACGCAGACCAGTGGCACTCCTGGGCAGCGGTGGTGCCATAAGAGAGCAGAGAAGAGCAGAGAAGTCGTGGTGGGGTGGGGTGGGGGGGTCCCAGGGGTTTATGCTATTGGGTGGATGGAGGGCAGGGAATGTGAGAATGATGGTTTTGGTTTGCACATTTAATAAATTGTCAGAAGGACAGTTAAAATGTTCTGTCTAACAAACTGTCAGAGATTTGTAAGACAGTGTTTGGGGCCTGATGGCAGACTTAGGGCAGTTGAAGTCAGGGAGATCCCTGAGGAACCGGCCAGTTAAGTGTTAGAGTAGGGACCTCAGGAGGAGCTCACTGTATGGGTTAGAGTAAGAGTTTTCACACCAGGAGTAGAATAGTTTTAGGAAAGAAAGTTTATTGGAAGGAAGGAAGGAAGGAAGGAAGGAAGGAAGGAAGGAAGGAAGGAAGGAAGGAAAGAAGGAAGGAAGGAAGGAAGGAGATAGAGGGATAGAAAGAGAGAGGGAGAAGGAAGGGAGTGGCCACAGCACACGAATTAGGAGTGAAAGTGCCGGGCGCCTGACGGAAAGTTGTTTGGAGTTGTAAAGGGTAAAAATGGCTTCTTTTCCCCTCTGCTTTAGCAGACTGATAGCAGAAGCGGCAGTGAAGCTGTTGCAGTTGCTCTCTATTTTTTTCCTTTTCTGTGAGGCCAGCTTATCTGAGTCCTCGTGAGTGGTCCTGGCAGGAGCTGGGGCAGAGAGCTGGAGCGGAGAACTCACACCCCTGCTGTCCGCTCGGGGCTCTCTGTAAGGCTGAGAAACAACTTTTAGAGATAACGATTTAGGCGTCAGGTGTTTTAATTAAACAAAACGAAGGGGGGTAGTTATGCTGTGAGTTTCTTCTTCAAAGGGAGGATTATGTGCTGTGAGTTTATTTCCCTCATTTTCTGTTAAATAGGCTATTTTCCTCTGTTTGGTAGGTTATTATTAATAGTAAGGCCACCTTTTGTAAAGTAAAGCAGAGAAGACAAGAGCAGACATTTGGAGTTAGGAAGCTGGAGGTAAAAGAGGAACTAGGAAGGATTTCCTGGACTTTATTCAAGGGTTGGTTATACGTGTAGGAGAATGAAGGAAATTTGCAATATCATAGAAGCTCTGGAAAGGGGGTTTCAAGAAGAAAGGAATAATAACAGTGTTAAACAAGGTGGACAGGAAGAGGAAGGTGAGAACAGTGGAAAGGTCATTGGAAATAGGGTTTGGGCGGGGGGCTCACATTTGATTGGGGTAGAGGGAAGAATGGAGAGGCTCACCCCGTCCTTACATAACATTCACTGTAATTGGCGAGGCTGCATTTTGGGTGTTCAGTTAACCATGATTCCTTTTCCTCTGTGGTTTAGAGCTCTTCTTTCATCTTTCTCTATTAAGTCACTAAGCTTTGTGCTTCTATGGTCTTTATTCCTTTCATATATCCAACTTCAGAATGTTCTAGATATAATAGTACCCCAGAGTCTTCTATCTTTTAAAACTTGATTCTGAATCTATGAACCAGACCACAATTAAAGTCCAAGTAATTCCTCTAAGAGACTTCAGCTAAAATGTCAAAATCTCGGAATAATTGCTATAGATGCCTTCTCCTACTTCGACAGTACCTTCTGGGTTTTGTCTGTTGTTTCAGTGTATTTTAAAAGTAAAACTTGGCCCTTTACTTATATTTCAGTTCCGAGAGTGCGAGTAGTAAGATTTGGGGACAGGAGACTGTCTGATAAGTCTTCATCACATATCCATAGCCTGGAGGGCTCTCTGGCAGCTGAAGTGCAAAATCCTCCTCTTATGGGAAAAGTTTTGCTCCTGACATTACTTTGTCATTTACTTTTGAGAACACATTTACCCACCAGCTCGCAGCTAAAGCCGCGAACAGTGGACACATTCTTGCAAAGGCCTAGGACTTGCGTAATTTTTAACTGCACCGCAGAACCCAATGCCCATTTCTAATCTTATTCCAAAGGGGACACCGACTGGGGTGCCAGGAATAGCCGCACCATCTTCCCGCTCCTCAGTGCCTCTAGGTTCCCCTCTCCCCCACCTGCATTTATAGCTGTAGGCAGAGGAGACATTCTTCTGAACACAAGGTGGCGGACATAGCCATAGGGGCTGGAGCTCCAGTGGGAGGGAGGTCACTGGAGGGACACTGCACACTGATATGGAGACTTCAGCAGGGGTGAGAAAGGCCCTTAGAGAGGACCAGGAGTACAGTGATCAAAATTCAGGCTTAGCGTCACGTCCAAGGGCGGGAAGGCCAGGAGGAAACACAACTCTTTCAGGAGTCCTAACCACTTTTTGCAGTCTTTTGCCCTTTGTGTTAATTCTTATTTCATTTAATATGATTTGACTTTCATAACAGCCCTGAAGGGTGGGTAGGTCCTATCCCCATTTTACAGATAAACTAGTTGAGATTCAGCAAATGAAGGCCATTGTAGGTCACACTGCAGAAGAGTTGGCAGAGCCAGGATTTGAACCAGGTCTGCGTGATTCAGAATCTCTGTCTGGACACCACACCCTGAAGGGACAGGCGGAGAACTTGCTTGTATGTAGACAGCTTTGTTTTATGGTGGTATTTGAAAGTCCAGGGCCATGTATTGTGCTCCTCTGATTTCTCTTCCTGTCTTCCCCATTCATTTCTTGTCTGTGATTTGTTCTTTTGGTTGACACGCTACTCCCCACCCTAGGAGACAGACAAAGTCTTGTTTGCATCCAAAACAGGAAGAGTTTCGACATCTCTGGGAGAGCTGCTGTGTCTCTCTGCTGCATTCCTTCTATCTGGGGGGCAGGCGGAGCACAACTGTGGCTGTTAGGCAGGACAGCACAGCTGTAGTCAGCCAGTTGACACCGCGGCACATGGTGCCATGGTCACATTACTTGAGTGTGTCTGGCTCAAGCCGCTGCAATTGGCATTTATTGGGGCCATGGTTGGGGGAAGACTTCTGTGCACTTTGTAAGGAACAATTTCGCAACGACTCATATTCCATTTGCCACACATTGTCATAAAAATATCATGAATCCAAGCCTGTTTGCATAAAACCAAATTGCTGCTTGTCTGTTTCATGTACCACTCCTGAGGAATTCTGGTTTTGACTCGGGCTCGCGGGCTTCTGTTGTCTGTGAGATCTTTGAACAAAGCTATATTTTCATTCTGATTTTAATGTGGCTAAATTAAATATGATGCATATTTTGTTCAACCTAATAATGCTAAGTATAGAAAAAGAACCACAAGGGTAATGCATCATTAATAAATTCGCTGGTGACAGTTGGTAGATTGTTACCTTGAGATAACTCAGAGACTCATTGACAACAACTAAGAATAACAAATGTAAATTTTAAACTGCTTAGCTTTTTATTAGGCTGATGTTTCTTTTTTTAATTTAAAATGATGAAATGAAACTAACAGTATTTCCTTTTTTGTTATTTTGCAGAAAAAACCACTGTCTGCAATAATAAAGGAAGTCTGTGATGGGTAAGTGTTACTCAGGAGTCTCCTTAGGCATTCCAGTCTATAAAATTGACAGGCAAATAATATATTTCCAGTGGAATGATAAAATACTATTTGTAAGATACTTCTTGACCTGTCCAAAGTCACTAAGAATTACTGTGTAAGAGTTGCACACCCTTTCCACCAAAATTGATCATTCTTCCTCAAAGAGCAGAAAGTCTGAAATGGCCAGTACGTGTATGGTGAGGTTAGTTTTATTTATTTTAGGAAGTTGTGTTTCTTTTGTCCTACCCAGCAGGGAGCAGTCTAAAGCCTCCTGAAGTGAAATATACTCTTCATCTGGTATAAACTGAGAGGACCACTCAGGTCCTCAGTGAAGACGAAAGATTCAGAAGATAAGTCAGGGGGCACTTGGGCTGTCCCGTGGAGTTTCACGCCATTGTGGCTTTCCTACCTGCCTTTGGCTGCTCTAACCAATGCAAAGGAAATATTAATACACCTATGGCAGTTGCATGAGATTTTTTTACTTTTGAAGTAGAACTGTGGATAGAGTATTACCTGGATTTATATAAGGCCTGGGATACTTCATTGGAATGTTCCGGTCTGCATCAGCTATACTGATTGGGAATGATAGAATACAGAGACAATTGAATTGTGCCAATTGCCAGAAATGTAAATTGCATGCATTTCATTTGTTTTCCTCCGTCTGCTTCAGTCCTTTAAAATAAGGAGGAATGTAATGATTTCTGTTTAAATCCCCCACCCCAAACCTTGAAGATGAGATGCTGAGAGGTGACATAGGCTGTTGACATAGGAGATGATTGGTCTCAGGGTAGTGAAAGGTCGGCTGACGTCATTTTCCTTGAGGAACTGCATGGTAGTATATGTTGGGACTGGCCCAAGTCCAATCATAGGGTGCTTAATTCATCCAACCCTATTAAACTATGAAAATGAAAATGACCACTTTTGTTCTTCTAACTAGTTTATGCTTGTATTTTTAAGGTGGTCTCTTGCCAACCATGAATATTTTGCACTGCAGCATGCTGATAGTTCAAACTTCTATATCACAGAAAAGGTAGGTCAACCACATCATTTAATCTGGGACACTTGTACGGAAGGAAAGTACAGCATGACTGATGTTTCCTCTATTCATGACTAGACGTGCTAGTCTAACTAAATTTTTCGTCTCTACTGTCCATGCAAATAGGGCCTGCAAAGCAAACGATTGCCTACTGCTACTTGAGTATCCACAAGACAATATTTAGCTTGTTCAAGAGTGAAGACCAAGAATCAGTTCTGTTTAGTAATTACATTTGCCTTCTAACAGTGAACATGTTAATTACCTCTCTTTCTTATTGCTTGGTTAAAGAGTTTGGTTTATAATGGTTTATAATATTTGATACTTAATGACTTAGTTGAGCTGTCCTTTCTCAGATTTTTCCCCCCAGTGTGTAGACTCTAACCCTTGCTGAAAGTAATTGAAACAATGACAAGAAACCTTTTCAAATGTGGCATTGTGTAGGCACTAAGAGTGTTCTATGGCTCTTGGCAACGCTGCCTTCTTCTTGGGTGATTTTCACTCTCTTTAGTGAGCTCAGTGGGGACAAAGGGATTCATGAAGACTACAGTGGCCCTAGGAGCAAGTCAAATTAATATCTAAGAGATCCCTGATAGAGGAAGGGAAAACTATTATAGCATTTATTGAGGACCTGCTATGTGCCAGGAACTGAGCCATGCATATTACATCTCTTTGTTGATTTCTTCCTCAAGACTAACCCAGGCTGTAGAAATATTGGCTTTGGTTAACAGATAAGAAACTGAATCCCATAGAGGGTACATGGTTAGATTAATGCCTCATATTTGATTCTACAAGAAGAAAATTTAGATCTTCGTGCTGCTATGATTTTGTCTTTTGCAAATTTCTAGAATAGTTTAGCAACAGCTTTGGGGAGAGCTCACCAAAATGCATATAGGCCAGTATTGTCTTCATGAAACTGATAATCCTGCAGGGTTGGCGGGAGGGAAGGAACAGCCCGGTGAACAGCTGTCATTGGAGCACGGTGACCAGTGCTGGAACAGAAGTGAGTACAAAGTACCCTTGAAGGAGGGAGAATCGGGTGACCTCAGGCTCCAGTGTCCTGTAGGCTTTGTTTGTCCCAGTGGGTAGTCGCTAGAGTGACTGTAATTTTATCCATGAAGCAGGTAGAAGGTGGAGGCAGTAATGAGGGTCCTGCCCCCACTCACGACTCAGGCGCTGTACCCTGAAGAGTGTGTGGCGGGGGTGGGCTAGAGGCCTGGAAATGCTTCTCAGAAATTGTTTGTTCTTCCCAAATGGACACTGAGAATTTTATAACTGATCATGTGTTGCTCTTCACGCCAATTGCTAGAAAGCTGAGAGTTGATAAGTGGACTAGATTTCCTGGCATGTGTCATATTTATCAAGTTTACCTTTGATTCCTTTGACTCATTCTACAAACATTTAGTTTCCTGTCTTTATTTTCCCTTTGCATCATTTTCTTAGGATTTTTTTTTTGTTTATTTTGTACTACACCTGTATAAGTTACATGCTATTCTTTGTGAGATAAAGAGGATATAAATAAATAAAAGTTAAATGTTAGCAGTTAAATGTATCACCGTGGTTTCATCCATCACCAGTTAGTGAGTAGTGAAATCAATTCACTTGGTTGCAAGAGCAGTAAAAATTGGAATAGGTCAGAGTATATCACTTGTGTTATTTGTGAAATGTTTCACATACCCATGTATGTAATAAATGTGGATTGTACTTTTTTTTTTTTTTTTTACCCTGGGTTGTGGTCAAAAAGTGGCTGAGTCACGAATAGTCCTGGCTGTGATTAATCTGCACTGGCATGTATCCCCTAGTGGCTGTCTTCTGTCACCACTGTCTGGAGACCTCACTTTATTGCACATTACTAAAAGGGGGTTCTCAGACTTCAGAGACCATAAGCATTGCATAGAGAACCTTTTAAAAATACAGATTTTTAGATTGCATGAGCCTTGAATATAGACTAGGAGTTTTTATTTTTAAGGAACCTTTCAAGGAGTTCTGATGATGGATACCCAGGGACCACTTGAGAAAACACTGATCTGGGGCCTCTTTTCTACAGAGCTGAGACCCATGTGTACAGGACGCTGTGCCCTCTGACCTGAAGTTGTGCACAAAATTCTACTTAGGAGTGTTTGCTCACTGCCGTTTCTTGGGATAACTTAAAAATTACTAAAAATCATATAATGTTTATGCCTTTTTTATAATTTAAGAAAATTCAAACTACTGAGAACAGGGGAATAGTATTATTTTATGGGCCATCGTAATAGTCATTTTCTGGGAAATCTTGTTTTGCCTGAGGAAAGTCTTAATGTTGAGTTTAAAAGTGGCCACTCGAGTCTGTCATCGGGTCTTCTGTCTTCAGCGGGCAGTAGCAGAGATTGTTCTTTTATTAAGAGTTTAGGGAGTGAGAAGACTCAGCTTCCCAAGCATAGCTTAGTTTGTAAATGAAGTGTCATTGCTCTTCCTCAGGGAGCTGCCACTGGGCGCAGCTGTGTGTGTGGGTGACATGGAACTCAGCACACACAGGACAGGAGACGACGGTAAATCCTGGCTCCACAGGGTCAAACTGTGCTGCTTTCCATCTGCTGCTTAGGTCCATCTAGTTCCTTGCAAGTATTCCTAAAAATAGAGACTTTTTTTTCTCCATTTTTAAAATAACATTTAGCATCATCTTGGTTACCTACAGCCCAGGGACTTGTTAGGTAATATTTGCATCGCCATGGTAACCAGTGACTAATTTTTGAAACTTATGCATGCTGTTAGTTACTGATTTTCCCTTGTATATGAGATGGTCTCCCTCTTTCTGCTAAAGACAAAAAATCACCCGTAATTTCAAAGAGAAAATATTCTCTAGCCCTGGCCTAACAAGCTAACAGAATTAGTGGCTGACGGATGCCTGTGCTTCTCTTCTAAAATCCTCAGGAAGGCATCTCTTCTACTTTTCTCATGTTACCAGAACGCATTTTCCAAAATAGTCTTCATTTGCTTATTGGATCATTAACTGAGGCTTTTCAGTGCAGTGGGGGGAAACATCATGTTAAGTAGCATTCAGCAACAGCATGCAAATGCCTTAGAGAAAGTTGAGATTCATTTATTTGCAAGTTCAAATTCTGCCCCAGGAACTTACATATTTTAGGGTGATGTCTGGGAAAGAGAGAGAGAGAGAGAGAAAATGAAAAGTGAATTGTGTTCAAGCAGAATTTGTCTTTTGAGTAAGAATTCTAGTGAAAGAGTGCTAAGCATTTTAGTTTATTACCCTCATCACAGTCTAATCACAGTCTAATGATGCAGGCCTTGTTATCTTCATTTTACAATGAGGAAAGTGAGCCTGAGGAGGTTACCCAACAACGTGTGTAGGTCTTACAGATCAGACGTGGACCCAGGTGGGCCTGACTCCAAAGCTCTCTATGCTATTTTCGAGAAACTCTCTGTACCCACTGCCTCAGTCCCGATTTGTTTATGATGCCCTTTCTTTGCTGATGTCAAGCCAGTGATCCTGATTCTAAAATTCTCAAGTAAATAAATACAGGAAGTTACAGGCTGTGAGCATTGGTTACCAGCTTTGGTCTGTGGCTTCCTTATTCCTTACAAGGATAACTTGGAGGAAGTTGTGGCAGGTAATCTTCTACACACTAGGGATCCACAAAGTGCATTTTTACTTGTTTGCCTTTGGTATGGACTGTATGACTGTCTAAGGTAGCGTGATGGCACTAATACCTTTCCTTTTAGACAAACAGGAAAATTGCCTTGTCATCCTTAACCCTAAGTGTGCAGAGAGGTGGGTCCCCAGAAAGCATGGAGCATAGTGGAAGAAGCCACTATGAGCTATACACTTGTGAGCGATGGAAGCTGTGTGAATGACTGCAGAATGGCACGCGGTTCCTTCCTGCCAAGACGTACCCCGGAATGTATGAAGTATGGTGAAATAACAGTGGTATCTCATTTCAATAAATTCCTTATCTTGTGATCTCAGAGATAAGCTAAGCCTCATCCAAGCCCTCTCCACAAAGCTGGCCCCAGGAACCTTTGCCAAGGAAGTGGGCTTGTTTGGGGGGCACCCATTTTTGTCATTTCCACTACCTAAGTGCTCTGGGTTCTCAGCCAGCCCCTGAGCCTCCCAGAGTTCCTGGGCAGACAAGACCATGTGCACCCTGGGCCTTGGTCAAGAGACTTCATGATTACTGTATGGAATTCAGTTCAACTAGCACACTTTGGTAGACTCAGCCTAAGCAAGCAGAGTAAAACCAGTCTCCAGAAAGCATTGAGACTCAGAGATAAGTAGTGATGAAGCCTATGAGGGGATCAGAGGCGATGGGGAGGGAGAAGCCCTGGTCCTGATCTCCAGCTCTGGTTCCTGTTTCCTGTCTTTGCCTCCTTGTGAGAGGACCTGCTGTGGCTTTTCAGCCCCTGCCCCCTTCCTTAAACCACGTCATGCTGGTCTGTATTACTCTCAATCACAGAGCTTTCTCTGGGACGGGCGTTTCAATTTGAGCAAATTCAAGCCCAGGAAAATTGCAAATTTCCTCACTCAGCCAAATACCCCATGCAACATTTCTTCTGCTGCTGCCTCTGGTAAAAGAGTCTGGATGTGTTCAACAGAGGTCACTGTGGCTGCCTCAGCAAGTGACAACCCAGCCTGGGGGACCAGCTCATGCTCCCACCTGCATCCCCGGGCGGCTCCTCCTGGACCAGCTGTCCGTAGGCGGGAGTGGTGGGGAAGAGTGTTCTGCTTTGCCCTGTCCCTTCATCTCTTTTGGGTTTCCTGACTCCAGGCATTTCTCTGTGCTGCCCCTTGGACCTCTCCTTCCCTTCCTGAGACGCTGCTGCCTGCTGTCTCCTCTGTTAAACGTGTGCCTTGCTGCTGAATTCTTTTTTGCCAAGTTTCTTTCTTGCCTGGTGACCAAACCTGACTTCTGTTATCTATGCTCCGTGGATGCCCTGTTGGCTCCTTGTATGCCTGTCCCCAGCGCTTGGCAAGCATTGGACTCTCCTAGACAGGCTGCTTGTCT